ATTTTCATTTTGACTTTTAAAATGTACAATAGTAATGTTTTATATTGTATATTTTTTTCTATTTTGAATTACTATTTTCAAATGTACATTTGTAGTGTTTTTTTTTTTTTTTTTTTTTTTGATGATGTAGGTTTTTTTGGGTAGTATAAAGCCACAACGGATAAAACTGTTCTTTATAGATTTTATGTATTTATTCGTATTACCCAATAAATACATAAAATCTATAAATAACAGGTTTATCCGTTGTTGCTTTATATGAAAATTCTATGGAATTTCAATGGAATCGAATTTCAAAATAATAGTACATTCTACCGACAAACTTCGTAAGGACCTTTAAAAATTTGCCGCAAAAAACAATCAGCGAACCGGTTGAAGATTCTTTTTCTTTTTTCTATATTGAAGTGTAAATTTTTTTGTTGTTTTGAATTCTGAATGAATAATATTAAAAATGAAATGAGGGCGCAATACGATGTTAAATGCTTTCTACTCTAGGACCTACATCGTGCTTCAGCTGGAAGATGCCAAAACTTTTAAACAAACAAAAATGACCGAAAAAGCGTTATGGGGTTAATTTCAAAAAGTGGACCTGCTTTTCTCATATGACAATAAATTGTCAAATGAGAACACAAAATGCAAAATACATTGGGACTGCAATCAGTCAAATACCGACTATAAAGGACGAAAAATATAAATTCTTCCTAAACATTCAAGATACCTTTAATCGCTTTGGTAGGTCATGATATGGGCCATAACCCCCGATAACGGAACATCCCGATTTCAAATATATTCTACATTTTAACCATATTTTCCGAACTAGTTTTAGCTTATGTTGATAATTTAAGAAGAATCCATCTTTGCAAAAAATGATCACGTTTTGGTATCACCATAATATGATTTAAGACATTTTCGGGGTCTTGGCCACTTTTTTAATTTTTTTGGCCCTTATTTGACATCTTTGTTTCTAAGGGGGAAGAAAACCTCTTCTTATAAAATTTTTATTTATTTAAGTATAGTCCCCACATTAGTATACCCCTAAGTCCACTTTCCCAACAAATGTGTGGTCAGAAAAGAAAATTTGGTATTCTATTGAATTTGTAACCCGCAAGAGAATATTGGTTGGGAACGTAGATTTGGGATGCACGTCTATATGAAATAAACTCCGAAATGTCAATCTGGGACTCATTCAGTCGGAAATTGTGGCAGAAACATGAAAAAAATACGAAAATATAAAGTAACTTTATTGGATATCCACCGCACAATTTAAATGACCAACAATTAATGCCTATCTTAGGGTAATCGGAGCAAACGAATATTTTTTTTGGCTATTCTGGCAACATTCTGCCTTCAAATATGAGGTGGACAAAACTAAATACCACACAGTACGGGATTTTAAACGTTGGAAATACAAATTTCAAATTATAGCTCATTTGAATGCTTTTTACAATACCAAAAATCGAGCTGTATTTTCACATGGGGCTATTATAGATGTTCTTTATCATATAGGTATTTAACACTCAAATTAAAGCCTATAGCTGAAAAATAAGATCAGACTATTCAAAATATATAAAACCGGTGGTAATTATAATTTTTGCCATGAATATTCATTATACCCTACAACACTATGTGTTGGGGGTATTATAAGTTTGATTGGGCCAAAAATTATGTAACACCACGAAATATTGGTTTCCCACATAGGAAAGTATATATGGATCATCCTAGCTCGCCGAGCTGAGTCGATCTAGCTATGTATGTCCGTCCGTCCGTCTGTCCGTCTGTCCGTCTGTCCATGTTAATTTGTAATCACTCTACAGGTCGCAATTATGGCCCGATCTTCACGAAATTTGGAATGGAGGTCGGGGTAGGGCCAGAATAGAACCCTATTCCTTTTTGAGATGATCGCCAAATGTTTAGGGGTTGAAATGGACCAAATACTGAAAAAATGTCGGATTTTGCAGTAGCTATAGAGGTCGCAATTATAGACCAATCGACGTGGAGTTTCGCATTTAGCTAGAGTTTAGGACGGGGAAGAAGCCTACCAATTTGGGTGGTCATCGGATAATATTTAGCGCGTAAAATAGACCATATATTTTGTGTTGAAAAAATTCAAAATTTTTCATTAAACCGCGAATATTTTAAATCCTGGCGAAATCACAAAGCCATGAGAAGGTTACTTCTGACCTTTACATTGATGTTAACATCCAACAAATCGGATATATAGCAAAATATGTGCGATATATATGTCTATCAAAGAAGATATGCTTGAAAGATCTCTTATATGTCAAGAACGGCTGAACTGATTTCGACAGTTCTCATTAATTCAGAATGGCCTCTTGGCAGGAAAGAAAAAACGTCTAAAAAAATCGCATAAAAATATCTCTCTAAAGATGAAAATATTGATTTTGTAAAATTTTCTCATATTTTTTCAATTTTGTCATATTTTTGGCATATTTTCATTTTGAATTAAACATTTGGTAATATTTCTACAGCTAACAAAACTAAGTATTTAGAATATCAGGATATCATATACAGATCGCATTTATGGCCCGATCCATACGAAATTTTGCATGGGGATAAGATGAGGGTCAGAATAGAAGCCTACTCTTTTTGGAGATGATCGCCATATATTTAGGGATTGAAATGGACCAAAAAACTGCAAAATTGTCGGCAGGTCGTAATTATCGCCCGATCCTTACGCACATTTGAAAGGGGGTTACCGGACATTGCAAAAGCCAAGCAGTTTTGGATGGCCATTCAAAAATATTTAATGTGTGAAATAGTTTGCCAACTTTGGTAGACAAAATACGAAAATGTCCATTCCAGGGACTTTTTCGAGAATTCACAAATACAGGAAAGACGCACTTCTGACTATTTCGTTAACGAATATAGTCAAATGTCTGTATCTCATATAGATGCGTTTCAGTCAAAAACCAATAATAAATGTTAATCTTTTGCCACATCTAAGAAATTATAGGTCTTTGGGAAATATTGGTTCCAGATCTAGGAAAACCATTTAAGTGCAACATCTACCAATAAATTGGAAATGAGCAAATTAGTTTAAGTTGCTATTATTCGAAAATTAGAGAACGAAACCTGATGGTTTTCTTTTATAATTTGTCACAATATCTTGTGGAATTCTTTCGAGTATCTCGCCTATATAAAATGTATCGTTTATTATAGTGTTGTAGGGTATTCAACGGTCGGCCCCGCTCGACTGTAGCCTTTGCTTACTTGTTTATATTTAGTCATGGAGTCATTACTCATAATCAAGTCATTGCTCATAATTATAAACAAAATTGTGCCTCCTACATAAGTCAGATCTGTGATTTATTATGCTTTAAAGACTAATTTTTGTTCGACAACAACTACAAACAGCTTTAAAAAATAAGCTCGTTAAAGAAGCTGAAAAGAATTGAGTATGCAGTAACATCGGCAATATTACAGTTAACAATACGGGGATTAGTTTGGAGGAAATTGTCTTCCAGCGAGTCACCGAAGGTGTCTCTTTGGTCCTTATTACCAAATATGGTTAAAAACACCTTTAAACGTGAAAAGGTTCTACCATTGGATACAGAAGGCATCAGAAGCCTAGATCTTAGCGAAAGGCGTAAAAACTATATGTGGCCGAGCTTTTTAATCCCCTTCACCACTATTACCTTAAACTTAAAAAATTCCGAAAATCGGGAAGTACCATCATTTGAGGCTATACCAATTAGTGAACCTCAATCGAACATTTTTGCAAGGAGGGAACAGACCTACAGAGATCCCGAATTTCCATGTTTCAGCAAACTTGGTGCGAAATTGTGGAGGAAACCTTAAAAATATCGAACAACGAGAGGCTCCGTTATATGTTGACTATACCTAAACGTGGACCAAAAAAATATGTCTAAATTAAATAATGTGGACTCTATAGTGATTTCAACAGACGGACATTGTTAAATCGCTCTATGATTTTATTTTGATCAGGAATATTTGGAATATTTATATTTCGAGGTGTAATATACCATCCACTGTATGGTGGAGGGTAAAAAATACATTTTTTTTTTTGGTTTAAGGCCGTATCTTATGCAAGTTTATGCAAACTTCTACTGCAATGCATTGGGAAAGATGATGTCAAAGACAAAGTTATTCTTTATCAAATTTTACTATAGGTCGCCAAAGAAAATGAGTTTCTATTTCTAATCAAGAAAGTATTTTTATCGATGTTTACAAAAAAAAAAAACAATATTTCCAATATTTTCTAATTTGCCCTCTTCCTTTGAGGTGGTGCATGAAAGTAACAAAATTTCGTTTTAGGTAGAAAATGTCATTTAAAATTAATATAATTTATATAGTAAAATCCTGTAAAAAAGTAAAAGTCGGGCGTACAAAAAAGTGTTTACACCAACCCTAGATACCGGTTATAATTGAAACTATACCTCCCATATATTGCTACTATGAATCTATTTCCACTTAATTCGATGATATCTCAATTTAAAGGACGTTTAATTTAAAACAAATATTTTGGAGCTATAGCTATATTTGATCTAATTTTCACGAAACTCCATCTTTGAGTTGATATTGAACTTTTGCTGCACAATAAACTTAAAATTGGGTAAAGATATAAAGGGAGGCATATCCAAATCTGAAACGATCTCGATAAAATTTAGCAATGGCATTTCTTTGCTCTAACCAAATTCAATGAAGTCATTCCTTGGGCCAAACAAATGACTTGTGCAAAATTTCAACTTGCACGGAAAATAAATACGACGACGAATGTTTACAAAAATATATGGACAGTCAGACATACAGGCATAAATCAAATTTTATAGGAAGAAATATTCTGTCTGGATATCATAACAATTTGAGAATCACCACAATTGAGAAGCAAAATGTTAATAAACATATTTTCGGTTTCCAATGGTGTTCAATTACATACCGTAAAAAATAATTCATCAATAAGTAATAACTCCGAATATGGCTAAAGCCTTAGTACACAGACAAGAAGTATATATTATACATACCTGATTGCGCCTGACATTGCGCGGAAGTGGTTGTTAACTCAGCATCATGCAGAGATGTTCCAGTTCCTAGAAATTATTTTCAGACGATCGCACAGGAAACGAGTATTATAATATCAAAAGCCTAAGAAACTTGTCAAAAACAATAAGAATAAAATAAATGGAATTGCGGAATACACTTAATAGATATTACCTTTTTTTTTACAATGTACAATTTCAATACATTTTGACAAATAAAGCATTGAGTTATTCTTTAGCCAATAAAATTTAAGAGCGTAACCTATAATTCGACGTAGCGTACCAAAATATTCAACAAACGTACGGGCACTGACGAAACACATTTTGGACGTATCGAATTATGTATACCTACTGTACCCATATGGATGATGATATAACAGATAAAACAAGGGAAAAAGCAGTTAAGTTTTTTCTTTATATTCTTCACTAGTTGGAAAATAACTCATGTAAAAATATATCTTTTAATGGCGAAATTAGAGTATTCGAGGAATATCGGAAGGATGTGATGGAAAAACGTTGACCTATATAACAAACCTTTAGGAAATCCAAACAAAGACATAGAAGTATAAAAATGAGGCAAGACAGAGTCAAAATATTGTCAGCAGGGATATCATATCAACATAATCACCAATGTTAAGTTATTTTAACTGAAAATACAATTTTCAATTAATTGAAAACTTCAGTGGAATACAATTTTGTGCCCAGATTTTTGGTTTACAGAAAATGTTTTTCGTAAAACTGCTCTGTAATTTTCTTTTCTATGCTAACATGTCATGTCTACATATTTTTCACACTAACTATTAGTCCGTAATGCATTTTGTCCAGTCTTTACCATTTTAAGTCTTTGATCCAAAAACCGAATTGTAAATAATTTCGGTAGAAAATACAGCTTAAATCGGCAAAATAACGAATAAAGAGAAATATCGTTATATGGAGGCAATGGAAAACCATGAACCTAATAATTTTCTGCACACAGAAAAAGTAGAACCCATTATGAGCTGTGCCCTTACATAGGACCACAGGAAATACAATCTATTATGTACTACAAATATCGCATTCAAAGCTATTCCGCTGGAACTGAAGCTAAAATCATCAACATACCGAATATGGGGAGGTGCATTTATATGAGGTAACGTGAACCTATAATGTTCTGTCACAGTAAATAAAACTTATTATGAACTTCTAATACCGAATTTTAAGCTATTCCCTAGAAACTGTTGATAAAATCGTTAAAATACAGAATATTGGAAGATATAATTATATGGGGGTATACGATGATGTTGACATATACAAGGTGAGATGAAAAAACTGCAACCAACTTCAGACTGCTGTCATTTCTAAGCAACTCGTCCGACAGCTTTTAAAATTATTCCAGTGACAGCTCATTATATTGTTTACAAGCGTACAAAAGCATTTTGGTGGGAATTTTCCAGAAAAAAGTTATTCGTGATGGAATTCCAGCGTGATAGTGTGATTTCTTAATATTTGACTGGAAAACAACAAGTGGCTATAGCTAGAGCACTTCAGCATTTAAATGGGTATAATTCTTTTGTGTCTCGTACCATCGCTCGTTACCGTGATACTGGTAGCGTAGCTCGACGTCAAGGAAGTGGACGGAAGAAAGCAGCAACATCAGAAAAATGGCGCGGGATCTGAAAATATCGCAATATTCCATTCGGCGAATATTGAAAAATTAGCTCGGGGTAAAGCCATTAATATTCCAAAAAGTGCAAGAACTTACACCGCAACAGAAAGAAAATAGAATCAAAAGATCTAAAGAGTTGCTTCGCTTGGCCGAAAGTGGTGAACTACTGAATTTGTTTTTCTTCTATAAGAAAACATTCGTTGTTTAGCAGTTTGTAAACAAACAAAATAATCGTGTTTACTTGTCAAAGATGTCAGCTGAAAATGTGCACCTTCGGTTGGCCACCAGAACTCAAGCGTCGGCCATGGTGATGGTGTGGGCCGCCATAACAGCCGATGGTCGCACTCCGCTCGTATTAATCGGCCGTGGCATCAGAATAAATGCCGAATATTATCGCGAAAATATTCTGGAGCGTGTATGAAAGCCTTGGGCACGCAAACATTTTTGCGCAGACCTTGGACATTCCAACATTATTTTGGAAATCAAGGTTGGTACTAAAAAATACCAAAGTGTCGATCACCTCAAGCAAGCGCTTCGCCGGGAATGGACCAAAATACCTCAGAGCAACATTCGTGCAACGTGTGACGGTTTCATTGGCCGTTTGAAGACCATAACTTTTGCCAAAGGTGATCATTTCGAACAAAATTCAAACTTGTTCTAAAATAATAATAAAATAAAAAAAATGTAAAAATTATGGCGTTCGACTTTGTTGCAGTTTTTTATCTCACCCTGTATATGCTGTACTATAAACTCTAAATAATATGTTTTAAACTATTTCGTTAGAAATTGAGTTCGACTATAGGGCGGTACCGTTAAATGGGGGCTATGGGGAAACATGGACCGCGGCAAAACATGGACGATCGGCTTTTGCATGGAGTTGTTTTCTTTTATTTTTGATCAGAAATAAAAAATTCGGATTCTAGCATTATTAAAACAGACAGACGGAGGGACGAGCATGGCTGAATCCTAGATTTGTACGCTGATCATGAATATATATACTTTATTGGTTCCATTTCAAACTGCAAATGTCAGTGAAATCGTTTAGAGAATGCATTTAAAGTCTTCAAAATATCATAAAGTGGGCGATACCGTCATATGGGCGCTATACCAAAACGTGAGCCTACATAGGCAATTTTCTTCTACCTGAGTTGTTATCTATTGTGTCTTTCAAATACCAAATTGTAAACGATTCCGTTGGAAGCTGTGGCCACAATCATCAAAATACAAAATATCGAGTGATACCGTTTTATACGAATAAGTGGACCTATTTAGGCTACTTTTTGTCTGAGAGGTTGGTGTTCTTTAAGAATCTAAATACCACAAAGAGTTAAGTAATTGACTGACTGACTTAATGATTCATCAACACCCAGACGAAACGGCTGAAGCTAGAAATTTTGGGTGAGGGTCACTTTTGGTCCGAAGGGGTCAGATAAGGCTGGGTTTTTGGAAATTCGAACTAATTGAAAACGAAAAGTACAAAAAGGTACTAAATCTGATACCCTTTGTATTTGACGAAACAGTAGAGCTAGGACTCTTTAACTTGGAATAAGGGTCGCTAATTGAGTGAGGTATGTATGTGCCAAAGGGGTTTTGGAAATTCGGACTATAAGTGTAGGAAAGGTACTAAAATGTACTACATTCGGTGCGATTTCGAATTATGTGAACGGTTAGAACTAAAAACATGAAATTAGGAATGGGAATGAAGGTTGAGGAATACTGTCGATGTAAGGAGGTAGCTTTGGAAGTGTACTCAGTAATACGAAATACTAAATGGTACTAAATTTAGTACAATTTGAATTTGGAAGAATGGATGGAGCTGGAGACCTTAACATTACAGGCAAAGTGTATTATTGGGGTATGAACGTAATTTTCAAAATTTGTATTTATGTACAGGAACGGTACTAAATGGTACTAATTTTGGTATAATTTGGATTTGAGTGAACAGATAAAACTAGAATCCTTACATTTGGAAATAAGATTATTTTGCGTTGTAAAAATGGGGTATATAGATAGTTTTGACAATTTTTACTTATGTGTAAGAAATGGTACCAAACTTGGTACAATTTAAATTTTGGGAGAACCTATAGAGTCGAAATTCTGAAACTTGGAAGTAATATTTCTCTTGCATTCTAGGTCTGTGAAATGTAGTTAGTTTTTAAAATACTTACTAATGTGTACTAAAGGGTAATATTGATTAATATTGCATTGGATGGCTGAGGTATGTAGGTTCTGGAAATTCGTTCTTATGTGTATTAAGTGGTACTAAATTTGGTACAATTTAAATTTTGGGTAAACCAGTAGAGTTGGAAGCCTGAAATTTGAAAATAAGTACTACAAGAGTACAAAAGGTAAAAAGGGTACAAAATTAGGTATTGATCGTAGGGATAGTTAGATTTCTGGGAATTGGCGTATTGTGTTGAGATATGCAGGTGGTATTGGAAATATGTACCGTAGATGTATGAAAGATATTCAATGGCACTTAAGTTTTAATTGTGATCGATGTTCGTGTGTAGGTTTGAGATATGAAGTGGTTTTGGAATTACGTACTAAATAGTACTAAATTTGGTATTTGGGTAAAGAATTAAGTTGGAAGTCTAAAGTTTGGAATTAGGATCACCTTTTGTGCGAATTGGCTGATACATGGCGGCGAACTTGAAAATACTTACTAAAAAGTACGGAAATTACTAAAATTTATTAACTTTGGTATCTGGGAAGAAATAGAGCAGGAAATCTGTGTACCAGAAGTACTAAAGTGCACCAAATTTGGTACCATTTGGAATTATATAAACGGATAGAGAAAAACCTTGAAATTTGATATGAGAACCAAGTCTGAAAAATAGTGTTGATATAAGGAGGTAATTTTATTATATGTGGGATAGTACTTAAAATCTCAAATTTGGCATTAGAGTTGATTTAGGGTTGGGAGGTGGATATTATTCATCCAAATTATAACTTGATATTAATAAATTGTGGTTATTTATTTAATGCATTCTATTTGGGTAAACAATTCTCTTAACATAAATGCAGTTAATATGAATACATTATTCCGCATACATATAGGAGCTATATTCAAATCTCAACCGATTTCAACATAATTTGACTAATTTATTTTCTGATCAAAATCCCGTCACACATTCCAAATTTCATTGGAATCAAACATACAAATCGTATTTGGTGTATTAAATAAACGAAATCGGCCGAAAATGTATATGGGAGCTATATCCAAATCTGAACCGATTCAAATATAATTTGGCAAACAAATTTGTTAGACAAATTGGATCACACATTTCAAATTTCATTGAAATATGGAGTACACAGCGTGTTTAACGCATCAAATACATGAAATCGGCCGAAAATATATATGGGAGCTATATCGAAATCTTAACCGATTTCAATATAATTTGCAATTTTTTTTTTTGTTTGAAATTCCGTTACGCATTCCAAATTTGGAGACTGTATCTGTAAT